GCGCAACAAAATTGAAGAGAACTTTTACAAGCTCATCGTAAATTCAGCATTCGGAAAAACTATGGAATAAAAACTAGGACGCAAAAACTAGAAAATATTTGAAAACGAAAAAGATTTGCTTCAAAAAAAAGCCTTGAGCACGATGAAAAGCTTCCAGATAATCAACGAGGAAGTTGCTAGTTTGTTTCGCCGTAAAAAGAATTTTGTGGGATAAACCCGTGACCAATCGAAAAGATTCATGTTTTATTTCCACTACCGGCAGATGAAAGCTAATATGAATTTGGAACTATTATACAGCGATACGGATTCCTTTATTTATTCGATAAAAACCGAAGACGTATATGCCGATCTGCAAAAAATGGACGATAGTTTTGATTTTTCCAACTACCCCAACGATCACTTCTTATTCAGCAATGTGAATAAGAAGGTTGTACTAAAATTCAAAGACGAAGTGGCCTGAAAAATCATCGAAGAATTCATAGCCTTAAAACCTAAGCTTTACTTGCTGAAATATGCAGGTTAGTATTGAAAAAAGCACCTCCCCGACTCTCCTCAGGTTTTTTTGGGTTTTTAATGAGCTCTACCGAAACAACAACAAGGTTTTAGATCTAGTTTCAACCTTTGATAGCTCTACCAAACACCCATCAAGGTTTTGGATGGGCAACCGAACGCATTAAATTTTGTTACAGCTGTTTACCTGATATAAATTTCGTCACCCGTGAAAGGCTCTGATTCTTCATTTTAAAACTTTTCTTTAAAGCCATTTTTAAAACACTACTTAACATATACGCGCCTTTGTTATTTTTCGGGCCAATAAATTCTGAATTTTCAGTTTAAATTTACCTGGGCTATTGGTTTCCGACGCTGAAATCAGTTTATGGTTTAATCTCTGGTCTTTATTTAGACTCCATTGAGAAAAGGAGTGCTAAGGGAGTGATGCAACACTCCCAGAAACAACTTACCTACCAGAGGTTCAAGGATACGTAATTGAGTGACGAAACCCTTCGCATATATAACTACTCTATTAAATCTAAAGCCCAAACCAATATAACCATTGCACAAAACCGACTTGCACTTTCACCCTTCGATAGCAAGCGGTTCTTGTTATTCGACGGAATAGCCATATTGCCCTTTAGGCACAAGTCTACCGAAGATAATGTGTTCTTCGAAGCCATTGCAGAAGAGAGCGAGTGGGCAAACTCTCAGTTAACATATAGTCCGACCTATAGCAACGATAGCGGTAACAGCGATAGCGATAACAGCGGAAGCGAGCAATCGCCCGTGCGAGAATTTCAGGTCCCTGATTGGGGCTTTCTTCAAAAAAGCTACACGGAAGAAGAGCTCAAAGAAGAAAGCGCGGCTAGCAGTTCCCGAGACCCTCCGCCTATTAAAAACCCGTTCATTCTAACAGAAGAGTCTGTTAGTTCAGAAAGTCAGAAAAAAAGGAGAAAACTTGATAAAATTGATCAATCAAAACCTTGCTCCTTGAAATATCGGCTAAACTGTCTTGTTACTTGGAATTACAGCTATGCATTTGTAAATCTAAAACATTCAGCAAACCTTGTTTTACTTTAAACAGACCAGCACAAAAGAGAGAGGTAATTTTAACTTACCCTTGAAACAGGAGCAAAAAATTAGATACTAAGTTAATAAAAAGGTAAATAATAATAAGTTAATAATTAGATACTAAGTTAATAATTAGATACTAAGTTACAAAGTGGAAGAAAATAAGTTGGAAAGAAAAGTTGGAGAAAATAATAGGAACTAAATGAACAATAATTACCAAAAAATTTTAAAACAAAAAGGAAATATGAATGGTACTTTATGTAAACTCATATTTATATTAACGAAAAGGTTTAGCTTATAGATATAAATAAGCGAAAAAACCGCAGCCGGATATGCCCATACTTATTAGTTGAATGGCGGAAAAGTTTAGAAGGGATTAAATTTAACCACCGCTCCAGAGTAAATTTCACACCAAAGCATTTTTCCGTCCTGAAACCAGAGTATTTTTTCCGTCGGGTGTCCCTAAGGGTGGGGTCTTTCTACTTTGGGTCGGGTCATTTTGATTCTGAAAACTATAGGTGGGGTCCTTTAATTTAGGACCCCTCACTTAGGTTTTAGGACCTTTTTGACCCCCCCTAGGACACACGGTGGATTACAAAACTACTAAGGTCAGTCAGCTAAAAATGGATATCTCAAAATTATACAAAGGGGGGACGTTTTGGATCGGTAGGGAGTTGAATATCAGCTGTTTTATTCCATTTTTGTACCTAGCTGTTTTGCGGCTCATTGATAACTTTAGTTCTGAGTGTCAAACCTCGATAAAGGCCTGCATAACTTGGATAACTCGTTGAAAACAAATAAATTTTGTCCGACTAGATTTTTATGATAAAACTTCGCTTCAAAACTTTAGAGCTGTTTATGTTTTCAATAATCCATGAGAGATTCCATGCATCGAAACTTTAATTCAAACCACATCCCGCGCTGCATCAATTGAAAGCATTTTTAAATTCTTTCTTTGAGTTTTGGTTCCAAGCTTTTTTGGAAGTAAACTGACATGTTAGGTATCTTCATTTTCGCTGTATTGGTAGAATTTCGATAACTTTTTGATCAAACAATGTAAATCTGCAGAAAATCTATCAAATATTGGCAGTAAAACCTTCGAAATCTGAGGAACGAATTTAGTATATATCAAAACTTGAAGAAACATTTCTTCAAAATTCTTACACAGAGGTGAAACTGCACTTCGCAAATACTAGCGAAAAAACAAAAAAGCAGCTCTATGAAGATAAATAAACAAAGACTAAGAAAAGGCCTTGAAATTTAAATATTATGCTGCGCCACAATCCCTAGACAATTTACTACACAGAGACGTACACAGAACTTCGAACGTTTCTACAATTGAAGAAAGTGGAAAAACAATAAAACGAGCATTTTTTTCTTTTCGTGTTTAAACATATTTAAGTTTTTCAAGGGTTCTACTGGTGTTTTAACTTTGGGCATTCAAAATCTGGTGTCAGAGTCCTATCGATGTCAAAATTACTACCGGACATTTTAAGCAAAAAAAATCGGTAAATATGCCGACAGAATAGAAGCAGACAGCCAATTAAGCTACAACACAGCCAAAAAAATTTTGTAAAAAAAAATCATATTGGAAAAAATTGCAAGTAAAGCCCACAAGGATCCACTATAGCTATAAAATCCTGCACACTAACTCTACATGTATCAAATTGGAAAGCATAAAACCAAATTAATTTTAAAACTAGGCATTTCAAAAAAATTGCGAGATAAAATGAGTTGGAAAATTTCTGAACAAGTTTTTATTATTGCACTGTTGTTTGAAATAATTAATTTTTCTCGGTTCCTTTGATGAAGCACAAAGGCATCTACTGGTTAATTTATTACATATCGAATGTCAAAGCATATGCTATGTGCCCCAAAGTTGAACCAATATTTGCGACTTAGGTTGGAAAAATAAGAATAGTCGTTCTATTACACTACGCCCACAAGTGTCAACATATTTTGATCTTCAAAATTATTCAAACAAACTTGATAATTCAACTCCAATTTTTTTAAAGGCTTTTCAAAGATGGCAAAGATGGTTGTGTATGGGTGGAACACATTGATTTTGCATTATTTGTCAATCAAACCTTTTTAAATGACTTCAACCAAAAATAAAAGTAGTAACTTATTGAACTGGTCAGCTATTTTCTATGGGATCAAAGAGCTTCAATTAGTTACAGAGAAGCTACAATCTTCATCATACTGAGACAAAATTTGCTAATTCCAAAAAATTTTGATCAAGTTTCCAATTCAGATATTCAACGCATTGCCCAGAAATTCGCGCTTTGTTTATATTAAGCAATGAAGAGCTAATCAAATTTGTTTTTTGTTGACATTTTTTTGGATGCAAGAATAATGCCGGAGGATGACAGATGTGGAGTGCCTGCAAGTTTCAAGTTTTTTTTTCTGAATATAGTTGTATATGGTTTTCAATGCAATGCGTCTTCGGTGTTTTGAAAACCTTATTTGGGCTTGTTCGCTGGTTACTGCCGCATGGGCTCAGTTAAATGTCTACAAACCGTTTAGCCCCAAATCAGTTCTACTGATGATAGAGAGGCTTCAAGGGATGGGACACAGTTAGTAGAAGCAGTAACCGTAAAGTGAACAAGTTCAAGTTGTGTTTTTGAAACCGAATATGGTGCCTACGACTAGCGAGTTTCAGAAATTATGAGTGATGAATTTGAACTATGTTCTTATTTAGTTTGGTTTTTCCTACTTTTAAAAAATTGATACAGAGCTTGGACCATATGTCATTAACCTGTCTAGACAATGCCATAAATCTGCTGCTTTATGTTTATTCAAACTTAAGTATTTTTTTCCAATATTTTCTTTTTATGTTTTCAGATTTATATATTTTTACTTTTCTTTGAAGATCTCACATTTCGTAAGTCATTTGATAAAACGGGCAGTGCTCTGTAACCCAATTGGATCCGTTAACTGTCCCCTCACTGTTTCTGGTGCTTCATATTTAAATTCTCGTATATGCTTATTTACCATTAACAATGAGAAATAAATTGTTTCTTTCATATTTTTTTTAAATCTGGCCGATGAATAAAAACTATTTTCGGCTACTATGATTCCGTAGTGAACTTTTCAAACCCGTCGCAAGGAACAGAGGACGAATAATTTCTTGTACTTAAACACAAGAATTATTTAGTCAAACTAACTAGCAAAACAAAGCACAATTAAATTAAGTATTTCAATATTTCTAGCAAGTACAAAGCACCATAGATTTGCTGTGAGGTGAGTGTAATGTGAGGGCAGGGTCTAAAAGCGTATTTCGATTAGCATTTCCATTGATTGGGCTCATAAACGTTCTATTCCCATCATCTAAGGTTGATAAACCGGGCAACAATGAATCCAGTTTGATAGAGCGGAAAAAAATTACTAAAACAAGCGCTTATATGGTTATATTTAAAATAATACAACCGTAAAATGATACGCTATCTTTCAAAAAAACAAAGGAAAACTAATATTCGCCAATGAGAACCACTCTGAATTGCTATTCATTCATGCTAATCGTAACACATCCCGTTTGGTTTTCTACTAGACATTAGTAATGGTCGAGTTTTGCACAAAAACACATCGGTTTGCTAACACATATGTCGATCGACTTTCCTCGAAGTTTCCAAAGTTCCACTGTCCCAGGTAAACCCGTGACTAGTGGTGTCATTTTCATCGGTATTTTAGGCTCCAACGCTTCAATCATACTCGACCGCCTTTATTCCAGTCCACTCAAATTTTCCATAGTTTCAGTTTGAAACCAAGAATTTCACTCATCACGGCCGAAATTGCAGATAGAATAATAACTCGCATGACGTTATAGAGAACAGAATTCATGACGAGTCCAGACACTTTGAAGGGTGATTCCACTTCGCTTATTAGTCGGCAAGCTAGTTTCAGAACTCTGTCTGCTAAGAAGTACTCTTCTCGCTTCTCTGGCTTGTTTTCCATTCGGAGGGAGAGGTTGATTCGTTCTGTGGTTAACATGGCAGTGTTGCTGTACTGTTTGTTTACTTTAGTGCCTGAAACAAAAACTCAGAGATTAGTTAATTCATTAGATGCAGGTCATAGAACGCATCCATAGTATTTATAAATGCATCCATAGTATACATAGAATGCATCCGTAGTATGCAGAGAATCAGGGGTGCTCAAAATTAAATTGCAATTAAATTAATTGCGATTGCAATTATTTGATTGTTTCTTTTAATTGGCTGTTTTGAAATAATTGATTTTTCATGTTGCAATCAATTTTTGAACACCTCTGCATAGAATGCATCCATCAGATTAGTTAGTTCATTAGATACATGTCATTAGATTCATCCGTAGAAGGGATGCTAAAAAAAGATAGGGATGCTAAAATACAAAAAAGATGCAAGTCAACCCGGAGCGGATTTGGAACAGTTATAAGACATTTATTTAAGACCGACCAACCCTCAAGAGGCGCTTACTTACATATACCAAAGAAAACAGAGCGCAAAAAAATCAACTTTTGGTCAAAAAAAATTCATGAAGTGCCGACACGATCTCTTTTTAAGATTTTCTATAGAGAGCTCGAAAATCAATGCATTGCACGATCGAAATGACTGAGCCGTAGAATATAAAACGTTTCTAGAATATATTATAGAACATTAAATTTATTCAAATATAAAATTAGAGAAGCCTTTCGCTGATTGTTCAACTGTGATTAGCAGAAATTCAGACCAATTTTTCTCAAAATACAATTCTTGTTTCAAGTTTTGGCGATTAGCACTTTTATATGACGCCAATTGATTTCCATTAGAACTTTCTACAAGGTATCTAAAATTGGAGGACCAAAAACCCTCCCCTGCGCTATAGTTCCTTCCCACTTCTCTATGTGCTGGTTAACTGTAGTCTGTAAACAAATATAAGGACATGATAACAATACAATTACGTCTAATTTCCCATAATTGTAGTTTCGCATCGACGTCTAGTTTGCTAGTCGTTTTATTTCCTAGAACTTCCTTGATGAATAATAAGAGCTAACCTATGGTGATGAACCTTAGCAGAAGTGATCCAAGTGCCAGACACCACGTGATGGCCACCCAGCTGGCCAGACTGGGATTGTAGAAGCCGCTGAGGGAAATTCTGGCTGTATCACTTCCAGATCCACTTCCACCTTCTGGGTTGTCTGGGTTGTGTTCGAGCATCTGGAAGCAGCAGCAGGACACAGAGAGGACGCAGAAGAGAAGACAATTGGAGACGATTACTTCCACTGTCTTCTGGGGTCCATGCGCCTGCAACCAAACATGGCCTTTTTTCACAAACTTAAAAAAAAACAGCTTAAAAATATCCAAAAAAAAATAAGTTTGAGCGTGAAAAAATTTTGACACCATTCCCGAAGAAACAAAAATCTTTCTAATTGTCTTCACTATAACAAGCGTTTGCACAGTTATCACTCCATTTACGGCAAGCTACTACCCCTAGAGTATTCGATGACCTAAAACAGCTACCATTCCGCTAACTGACCTTGAGTTTGAACCTGATGTAGAGCCACATTTTAATATTCCTCACTTTGGTCAGCCTGAAGTGAGGTATTTCACACTTCCTCGCCTTCTTGCTGCTTGTCAACCTACATCAAATAAGAAACAAAGATAAGTTGAAAACAATAATGCAACTCGAGGCGAACTTATCCAAAACCCTACCCCTCCATTAACTCCCACAGGATTTCCGTACTTAAAAATAACCCATTGCAACTATTCTACAACTTCAAACTTTGACCTATCACGCGAAACTTTTTGGTCAAAAACTTTCACACAGAGGCGAAGCAGAGCTTCGCACCAATTGCGATACAAAATTAAATAGCTATCACAACTTGCGTATCAACTGACAAATCGAAACAAAATGTGTTAAAATTTTAAAAAAAGAAATCTTACAACTGAACTAACTGCACCATTAAAAATTTTATGAACTGAGCTGAAGCCAAGTTGCTCAAAAAAGTGAGCAAAGGTTTCAATTATTCTGTCAACAAATAAACCCGAAAAAAAAACTATATTCCAGTTTAGTAAAAATTGCCAAATTATAGTTGAAAAATAGATGGCCTTGAAGCTCTTTGAATTTGTAGAACAATTTATGATGAACACTTTTTTGTTAAAATTAACCCAATTTGAGAAAACTGGATCAATAGGTGAAACTTTTATTTCGCTGGGAAATCTGATAATTAATTTCCATTTTCGAAATTAGAAGTCAATCACTTTTTTCGTGACCTTTACACTTTTAATGTTCGAGCGAAGTTTGTCCTCCTTGTAACAATGGAAATGCACTGAAATTAAAAAAAAATCACAAGTCAAACCGCAAAAAATCAAAGTTGAGCGTGAACAATTTTTAAAACTTTTTCCTAAAAAAAAACAAACAAAAAAATCAGCAAGACCTATATAAGAGTTTACGTTCGTTATATACGTGCGTTACTCTTGATAGGCAAATTGGACAATATTTCTTTGCAGAAAAATGAACACAAAAACAAACAAAATCGTTTTAAAAAATTCAAAAAAAACTTAACTCGACTAAGACGAAGTTTTCGCGGCTCAAATTAGGCATAAACAACCTATTGCTAGCCTGCTCGCTTGCCTTTACTCAAACATAACTAGAGTAGACTTGAAAAATTTGAAATCAGTTTTTCTCAACACTGAGCAAAAAATTTTGAAAATTTTTAATGTCGTTCGAATCACGACTAAAAGGGCTTCAATTTGATTTATGACTCGACCCTGTCGATGATTATTTGTGGTACCTGATTTTGCGTAGAAAACAAAAAGAAAAAATTAAAACATCCCAATACAAAGTTCCTTCCCATTTTCAAGGGTGGGACCAATTGGGGAGGGCTGAAGAGGGTGGGATTTGAACATTCAAAACTTCTTGTAAGAATTGAACCGTTTTCATTTGACACCAACAAAAATAAGTAAAAGAAACATTGAGAAAATAAGTCGACAGAAACAAAGCCGATCGATCTCGGTGGCAAAAATCTACCGAAATATTTCGGCACAGATAAAAACTATTTTGCAACTCTTTACGTTCACCCAAGGCACATATGCAGTTAATACACACCAACCAAGCTATTAATTCAGCATTTCTATAAATTACCATTTGACCATTCTGTGAACAAAGTTTTTTACGGAAAAAATTCTAGTACCCGGTTGAAATGCCCTTTTTCATCGCAAGGGTAAAACTGAAGACCAAAACTATCTTATCGGCACGTTTGCAGCTTTCCATAATTGGTTCTAACAGGCTTTGAGAAACATCACAATCAGTTAAAAACACTGGAATTTGAATTTAGTTGCAGAGGCCTGCTGGCACATTTCAAAAGTGATATTAGCTTCCATTCCGTTTTATTAAAAATCATTGATTAACTTTTTCATTCTTACAATTGTGTTTAAATATTAACTATTTTGAAGTATTAAAAACACGATCACAAAGAATGGATTGAACTAAGTAAAACGTCGTAAAAAGGGTAGACAACAAGATCATTAGATTTGCTCTAGGTCTACTTTATGCAAATTGAAACTCGACATCACTTGCGGTACAGAAAATGAATGACTATGGTTACAGCGCTGATTTAAATTATCCGGACAAACCGCATAAAACTTGAAAACTAAAACGAGTTTATATTAAACTGGGCTGAGTTCAGGAGAAAAATAATGAAAATAAAACTTGCTTAAAATTTCAACAGAATTAATATGATACCATTTCTTTTACGAAATTAGGGCCCAAAATTTTACCCCACATATGGATAGTCAAATAAAAGTTACTAAGTTTTGGTCACTAAAACCAGTGGGCCAATTAACACAAAATTATATCTTACGCAGGTCAACAAAGTTTCAGAAGGGCATTATCTCCAAAACATAACTTACTTTCAATTGATAGACGAACAATGTCATTTTACTAATTAAAACACCATTTTTTATTTGAACAAAATTTTTGAATTGTTTGCGCAATTTTATTGGAGATTATACACTCCTTAACTTTTGTTGGACTACGTAAGAGACTCATTTTGATATAATTTTGTCTGTAATTGACCAGGTGGTTTAGGCGTCCCAGCAGAACTTTTTGCACAGTTATTTGTCGTGTAGGGATGGTGAAATGATGACCCGCGAAATAAAAAACCTTGGGTAACAGACAGTTGGAAAAGAGTCAATAAACGCAAGGAAACAGAAAAGAAAAAATGATTTATTTTTTAAAAGAATCTCAACTTCCGAAATTCAAAGAAAAAAATGCCCTTAGAATTTCTGATTTTGGAAATACTGACTTTTTAGCTTTTGAATTTTAAAGAAAAATATATGCCCTTCAATCTCTTTGAATTTGAAAAACATGTTTTGGTTGGCGCTTTATTGATAAAATTAACTTAATGAGAGAAAACTGGGTCAATAGGTAAAGTTTTTATTTGTAGTCCACTTTCGAAATGAGAAGTCGATCACCTTTTTCGTAACCTTTAAACTTTTGCTGTTCGATAGTGGAGTTTGCATCCTTTAACACGAAATGAATTAAACTTAAAAATGAATCAAAAGTCACACAGCGAAATATCAAATTTGAGCGTTAACAAGTTTTAAGACTTTTCCTGAAAAAAAAAACTAAATAAAACCATCGCAACCTATATGAGAGTCTGAACTACGTTCATCGACTCTTTAAAATAATATGTTTTACTCGGCTAACCTGTATAGATACTTTGAGTAATAGTGTCGCTGGAGGTAAGTTCTCTCAGCTGCAGCTAGAAGGAGGAAGAAGACAACACATGTGAGGAAGGAGCTCACGACTGAGAAGTAGCTCAGGTAGATTTCCAGAACAATAAAATCAGATGACGCGAAGTTTTCATGTGCAGATACCAGTTGGATAATGTCTGAAACAAACAAAAATGAACCACAAAATATCTAACAAGACAAATTCTCAAGAAAAGAAAAAGTCTATGATCCGATCGGATAATGCTGGCTGATAGCAAGCGTAATATTAAAACATTTCTGCTACCCAAGTAGCACATAAAATTTATTTCGATTGCATTAAGCGTCACGACTTTCAACCTGTACTACAAATGAAGCTTTTTTATCGATCGGGACTTGGAATTCAAAACTACCGATAAAAACGAACGAAAAGTATATATCAAATTCCAATTTTCATATAACAGCTGGTTATCGAAAAAAACCAACGGACAGCTAGAAAGCCGAGTGACTCAATGTCCCCGTCAAAAAAATTAGAAGAAATCAGAAGTCAAGCATTGAAAAAAGCAAATTTAACAAGGACTGCCAATTACTGTGCAAGTAGCACAGAATGTTCCAACCATAGTCTTAAAAACTACCAAAAAAAAAGGTTTTCAAATTAATGGCGTTTTTTCTAGGTTGTTTGATTAAAAGATCTAGAAGCGAAATAGAACCTAGTCATATGCGACAGTCATAGTAAATTAAATGAGGCAAAAATAAGCAGTTGTAAGCATGCACGCTCACCTTATTGACTTGAAATTAGACCAAAAATTCAAACTGGTTTAAAAATTTTTTTCAGTCCTTTGAATCACGACTGAAGGGGCTGTAATATGGAACAATACTAGACCCATTCCGATGATTATTTGTGGTACCTGATTTTGCGTGGAAAAAAGAGAAAAAAAACTAAAACACACCCGAATATGAAGTTCCTCATGTTTTTCATATGGTCGAAAAAAATTTCGATCATTAAAAAATCTTCATCTCAAAGCACTTCAACGTAATACATTTTTAAAACCAACAATCGAAAGAAAAAAAATAGCTACATAAGTACAATTTTTGTCGTCATACCGAATTTTTTAAAAATTTGTATTTTGTAAAAAATCACAAGTTTTTTGGGGTCAGCGCAATATTCCTTCACAGTCAAAATCATATAATAAATAACATAGATACTGCAAATCTGTTGGCAAAAGCAGTGACTTGGAGCGCCTTCAACTTTTTAACACTCTATTAGGTGTTGAAAACGCGCAAGATGAATTCTTGAGTTCATATTCGATGACGGAAAAATAATGCAAACACTGTGGCATTAATTACACATACCTCCAAATAATGTGTACTGGGGCACCGTGTAATATCTGTACAAAAAGGGCATACAGCTGATAAACACAGCCGAGAAGATTCCGAACGCGAAATAGAAGTTCGAGTTGCGAATCAGATCGGCTCGATTCACAATCACCTCCACCACCTGTTCGGCTGTCAGATTGGCCTTATTGCACCTTCCCATTTGGTTCCAGGTGATGATTTTGACGGTCTTTTCTGGAGTCTGGTTTGCGGTAGAGCTGTTCGCTTTGTTCCAGCTGATGTCATCGGCGGAAGCCAGGCCACCATCCAGACGAGTGAAGTTGTCACCGTTGATATTGACCTGAAAGGGTAAAAAGATAGTGTGATATATTTCTACACAGAAGCGAAACTGCGCTTCGCAAACACTAGCCAAAACACGACAAAAAGTAGCACTATAGAGTGCAGTAAAAAAAAGTAGAAATAAGCTTCGAATTAGTAAAAATTCGACTACGTCTCGGATTCGTATCTGCGACCTGCTGCAATCAAGAGATTTTGAGTCCCATGCCTTAACCACTCAGTCTCAAACGCTTAATAAATAATCTCAAACACTATCCACTAATAAAGCTGAGAACAGATTTTATAAAAAATCTAATGCTAGAGACCAAATAAGTGAACACTTTTAATGAACACTTTTATTTGCGAGTTAGGTTACAAAAAAATGAAAGTTCGTGCTGATACACTAACGCTCGCAAGCTGGCTAGTGTAAATACAAGTCACCATCTTTGAAAAAAAAATCCGTCAATTTGATGCTTGACGAAGTACCTTTTTATGGAGCAATTCGTACAAGTCGTTTTATGTTTATTTTAATTTATCGCCCATATCCAAATTGTTTGCAAGGTTAGACTAGGAGGAACATTAGATAAAGCTACATATAGCAGGCGCGATTTTTCTTTCTATCGAATAAATTCTTTTTAAGGTATCAAAGAGTTTGAGGTCTAGTGTACACACACGTCAGGTGGTCTAATGTAACACGTCGAGTTTGAGCTTAGGGCTTGAGCCATTGAGAACGCAAACTGCTCTTCATCCAAGAGTCAACATAAGGGATGATTAAATAAATAACAAGAAATGACGGCTGTATTTTGTCACAACAAATAATGCTTCACATCGATTAAGCTCTTAATTAAGTGACTGTTAAACACGGTTTCATTAGTTTTTTTTTGCAAAATACCATCCATTTTTTTCTTATATTCATGATGGAGAAGAGTAGGAACAATAATTTTCTTTCATTTTTTCACGGACGGAAATTCGTTACTAGGCAGCTTAGGGAAGAGAAATAGTTAACAAGATGAGAATGATATTTACTCCAGATGTGTTGGGATTGTCCTCGACCTCCTCAATCGAACTGCCCCCCGTATCCTCTTGCCCCTCCCCATCATGCACATCCTCGTCTTCCTCTTCCTCACTTTCTTCTAGAATATTCCCATGACCATTCTCCTCCTCTTCCGATTCCACAGACTGCGTCTCGTGGATCGCTTCAGTCTCGCCTGTCACTACGTTTTTAATGCCACCACAAACCGGCGATTCTTCTGGTGAAACTAGCGTGCAACCGGGTGGCGCCGCAGCCGCGCCCAGTTTGCTTCTCTGAGTTTCAATCAACTCGCCAAAGATTTTTACTCTGAGTGACATTAGAAACCGCAGGATTCTATCTCGCCAAGTAAGCTGCCTAAAAGGAATAAACTTAAAAGGAGAGCAAATTTTCTTGCTTATTTCAAGCCTAGTTCACTCGTGGACAAATTGAACCCAATGCACGAGTCACGGTCAATATTAATTCCCATGAAGTCGATTATGCAATTAATTGAAGCATGCAAAAAACGCAGATAATAATTCATAAAAAAATTGCCCTTTCGCCATTAAGACTTGTAGAAGATTAAAGAGGAAGGATCAGCCAAAATGGAATGATAACACACACAAATGAAGTATCCAGGCCAAGTTTCTCGATAACATTGTCTCAACTTACGAAGAAAGTAAATAATAAGAAATAGTTGTGGCTTTTAAATTGATCATAATAACACTTTTCAGGATGTTTTCACATTACCCTTGATATATCGATAAATTCATTTCAAAACCGAACATTTTACCTGAGATCATCTTTTTTCGTTTCCATGTTTCTTTTCTGACCAGTAGCCAATTAGGGGTAAGAATTCGAACCCCTGGCCACCTTCCGTTTGTACTACTTTACTTCATCCATTTTTGGCTGACCTAACCAGAAACTTTTCGAAAGGCACTTTCGGTGTCATATCATACTAATTTTGCAGAGGAACGCCCGTCAAAAAAACTGATTTTTTTGGTCAAAAACAGCGAAAAAGTGCCTACAAACGCGCACAGTATTTTTATATTGTTTTGCGAAAACTCGGAAAACCAATTTGGATAACCTAAAAAAAACTGTCAAAAAAGAGTGTTATGCTCTGGAAAAGGCCGAATGTCAGGCTTCCACGAAAATTTTAGATCCCTTATCTTGGTGGGATATTAAATTTGTATTGTTAAAATTTGTATTGTCGCTTAGCCGGTATCAAATTCACATCGGATTTCTAACCCAGGGCATTCTAAAACTTTATAACCCGTTCCCGCTATCGTGATCCATTGCCGAAAACAACAAGCCAAAACCCAAGCTTCTTCGCCAACTAAACAGGTGCTCAGAACAATAATCAAGATTTTCATATACAAACGAAGATCAGTCTAGTGTTAACATTATGTGCCAATATAAAGAGCCTTTAATTGAAAAGAAACAGTTTGTACAATAATCGTAATAAAAGACCATCGCGCAAACAACATACATTTTATGTCAAATCGTTCAGTAAAATAATATTGAATGGATCAGCAACTAGGTGTCTTTCTTCAAACCCCCACGAGAAGGGAAATTGTCAATCTTAAGACAACATCTTCTGTGTTTTTAGATAAATCAAGCGATGATCAAAGAATAATTAAATGAATGACCATTTGCGAGTCCAGGAGTGAAAGCAACATTTTTTTTAACGTTATCAATTTTTTTTCTTTCTACCTTCACCAACGTGGAGTCAGGTGCTTGGTGGATAACAAAATCTCGCTGTTATCTGGGACCTTGTTACCTGTTCTCTCAAATTCTCATAAGTTCTTTTATTCTGATCAGCAGTGGATTTAAAGTTCTTTAATAAATGATACTAATAAAGAGCGAAGACGCCATTTTGACACGGAGGCGAAGCCGAGCTTCGCATCACTTGCGATACAACGCAAGCGTGCTATTGTCGGCCAAGTAAGAGGTAATGAAACGGAAACAAAAATTTCGAAAAAGAATAGTTTAATAACCTGGAAATTCTTCGAATAAATGAAAAATTATTTTTCAGAAAACAAATGGAGAAACGACTAATTTTTTGAGCGATTAAGATTAAAAAAACAACCGACATAAACTTATCTTCTCAAAAAAAATATCCATGTTTGCTTACCAAACGAGCCAAAATAAGCTGCCTAAGCCAAAAACACAATATGAACACAACGCCGAAAAGCTTTTAAGCGACCAACGCAAACTAAGTCAAATTTTTAAGGCCAGGGCTAGTAAAATTTAAAATATCTGATGTTAATCAACAAACCTTGCAGCTAGAGGAAAAATGCTCACGAAAAAAGAAAAACCCGTGATATGGCAACTAAGCGGACGGACTATAAGCAAATAAACAAAAAGCCGAAAAGGCAATTTTCGCTGAAAAGTTTCAATTCGAGTCCCAGACTTTATGTTACAAAGGCAACCAAGTTACTGCTAGGCCAGGAGAAAAGAAGCCTGGATCTTTTTAGGTTAAATAAAAAAAAGTGGATTTAAGTCGAAAAAGTTGACAGAATTACTTGAAGAAAAACGAAAAAACTAAACCTACAACAATTCCATGTATGTATCGGATGATGTTCATGAAGAAAACTAAAAAACATAGGGAATCTATTAGCGAGCAGCTACAAAATTGGGTCGCCCCTTGTTAAGCCCAAAATATAACAGTTGCCACAAAAAATACTCGCAAACACTGAAACACATAGAAGCATAAAAACAAAATTGCCCTCGAAACTATGCAAAATACTTTGATTACACCGATATATCATAAGTGGGAAACTGTTTCTTGAAAACCGAAATAAAAAAATTTCAAAATAACACATTGGTAGTAAATTTACAAATTACAGAGCTTTCAGTTATACTAAAAATCCATTATTTAGAAAGTAGTGTAAATGGCATTTTAAGCAGAGAAAAAGCGGAGCTTCACATCACTTCAGATAGAGCGCAAAAACAACATAACAAGCTAGCGGAAAGAAAATAAGACGGAAATGATAAAACCGAAAAAATTATTTTGGCGAAAAAAAATTCAGAAAAATAGCCAAAAAAAAACACGACAAACAGCATTTAATAAGTCTTTTATTTTTTATACGAGGGTTCACTGACATTCATTCAGCCAAATGCGCTCATTCAGCCAAAAACAGCCGCTCTAAGCCGCGCATTGAATGAGCCGAAAATAAAAAAAATGCCAAAAGAAAACAATTCATAAGAAAACAGTTGATATAAAACAACTTTGAGCCATTTGAAGCCTATCTATTTTTTTAGTCGACCACTTTTTTGCCCTTCAAACAAAACAAAGAAATTTTCAAAGTCAGGGCGATGATTTATAAAAGTTACAGGAAGGCATAAAAAACATTTGCATCGACGACAAAAATTGCTGAGCTCACAAGAAAATTTTACCATGTGGAAACTAAACTGACAAAGCCTAAGCAGAAAAACAAAACTCCGACGATTCAATTTTTCCAGTAATTTTTGGTGTTATTTCATACATACTGAAAGAACAAGATCTGGCCGGTGCTCGAAGCGCAGACCATAGGGTACAGAGACAACCGCGGTACCTCTAGGCCCAGTGGAAAGCGTCTCGAAATTGCTAAGGTTCACTAATAAAAAATTTTCAATGTCAACTTCAGATGTAAGAAAAGTTTACGGGAAAAAAGTCTAGTTCCCGATTACAAGACACTTGCTTACGCAAGTGTAACGATTGGTGAGAGCTAGGAAGTGAGAAATAGCAAATTATCTTCAACTCATATTGCCAGTTGAGAATTGAATGAGATAAATTACAATCGTGTCAGAAAAATGTGCCAGATAGAAGCACCATGATAACTCGACCAGGGTAGAAACCAGCCACAAAACAAGCACAACTTACTTCGATTGAAGCTTGCTGCAACAAAAGTTAGGTAAGCGTTTAAAAAATAAACCAAGCGTTATATTCAAGCATGAGTCATTAAAAATGCACGCTTCTACTTACGCATTATTCTCTTTAAGCGAAGCATCTTTCGCTTTTTTCTCCAATTCTTGCAGGTATTTGACAATACTTTTGTGGAGAAACGAACTTCGTCCGCTCGGAAAAGTGAACAGACTCTGTCGTTTGCGTATCGGAGTAGCTCCGACAAGACTTGGCCCAAGTCGGGATAGTGATGAGGACGAATTGGAATTTCTCGATCGGTTTCGCCCGATTGTCAAACTTGATGACGAAGTTGCCTTCGCTTGAGACGAAGAAATTGCGCTCGTTTTCTCAGATTCTTTAGTGTGAACTTGAAGTTGAACATTGTAGTTTGTAAACTGTTCACGTGCATCAGATTTGCCATACTTCCAATCATTTTGATAGTAAGTTTTATTGCAAATTGTCGTTGGCTTATTCAGAAATCCAGAGTTTGAAAGATTGGCAGACGCAGTTACAAAATTTTGGCAACTTTCACTTAGAGTTGAAGTATTTGAATCATCCCTTTGATTGGTGACTTGAAAGCTAAAAGATCTATTGTCGGTTATCTGAGCTGTATTTCCGTACCAATCGGTTGCATGCCTTTTGATTTCCGAGTTTGTCGAAAGATTTGATAGCTGTCTTGAAGTCCAAGGAGGAGTCTCCGAATCCAGGTCCACACTTGTCACCTCCACGGAACTTCCCACCTCTCCTTGCAAAGAACTATCGTCAGACAAAATGCTTAGATTGTGTAACCTGAGATCATTTTTGGTCACATCATTCGTCTGGTTAGGGAACCCAAAATTGGCGTCTGAATGCGGGTGAGCAATTTCTGGAGACATGTGAAAAACCTGGACTGATGATTGCACCATTGCATCCAAGTATTCCATTACTTCATCCGAGTCCTTCTTGACAAACTTGGGATGCAATTGATGATGTTCTCTCGCATCCGATGGGCTCAAAGCTGAAACCGTTGTTGGTGTCTCGACATCTAACGCCGTTGAATCAGTAGCAATTACAACTCTAGAAGTCGCATCAGATACACTTGTTTCGTTATCTTCCACTGTACTTTCTAATTCCAGCGGCTGTGTTACAGTTTCTGTGATTTGGCTCAAATTATTATCGTAGCGCATGTTCTCTTCGTTACGAGTTATCTGACTTAAGCTGTCAAAAGCTGATATCTCGAATGATTCTCGCTCTCGCTCTAGGTTTCCGTCTCTTGCAAACGGTACTGGTCTTTCTGGCTCAAAAACCTCTGCATGTGGTATATTAGGACTTGATTGATCACCGTTACAATTCGTCATCTCTTGAGTCTGAACATGTTCCTCCAGTGATGAAACACTTCGACGATCTTCGTTGTTCGTATTTGAGTCGAAATCAACGTCTTCGCGCTCCAAGTCCATAACTGGCGATAAATCAACTCCTGTAAAATTATCGTTTCTAGAAGCAATCCGACTTTGACTTTGCTCCAAATCCATACTGCTTAAACGTGACCGACGCAGTTCATGTTGACGGTTTTGAGAATTTGATTCTCGGTTGAGTCTATTACTAGCGTTTGGAACACCACCTGAAGAAACAGGTCGCAGATTTTGCACTTTACGCCGAGTAACATGAACAGTACTGTGACCTTTTCTTAAAGCTTTAGTGACAGCTTCTTGTGACGTATTTGGCGATTTGGGCGCGATGGTAGCAATTGGCACGTTAATATTACTACTACTTTTCGAAGTTCGTTTTCTGGCATTATGTATATGACAATAAGTAAAGGTAAGCAAAAATAAATATAGAAAGGGACAAATAAGTTCCAACTCGTAAACTGAAAAAGAAGAGCTTGAAACGGGAGGCTGTGACATAAAGTAACGTTTCAAGTTCCAAGTTGCCATAAACCAAGCCGACAACAGCATCATATACTGCGCGCGACTTAGTTCTGACATCCACCAGGTAAACAGAAAAGGCATCAAAGCGCTTCTGATGGCAGCATTAATAAGAATAGACACCCAACCTGATTCTGGTCTGGCTTTTTTAAACGTCTGCACTTGAACCAGTTCTGGATCCAGGAGATCCTCTTGGTACATGGTCGCATCTCGCATTTTCACTTTGTACTTCAAAAAATCTCCAGCCTGGATGAAATCTTCAACGCCATTGTGACTTGAGTTGCCATTATAGTTCCAGCCGCTTGTTCTGTTGGTATTAAAACTGGCTTTTGCAGCAGCTTGATTACTGGTAACAACACTGTGATAACTGCTGTTTTTACCACATGCAGAAACGTTCATATTACTATGAGAACAAAGGTTACTCTGGTTTATGAATGAGTTACTATTTATAATCAACGGCTGTCTTTCTGACGCCGGCGGTTCGTTCCCGTTCAGCTTCGTTTGCACTGACGATATGACGTCATCCATGAGACTATCAATCGAAAACTTTGTAGAGGTTAGATGTCTGGATGATGTTCCGTTAGGCGAATAAGACATGGCACTTCTGCGTGAACTTAAAGATGAGTTCACTCTCTCTTTAGAATTAGCCGACATTCTCTGACGAAGACGAGTCACTGTCCCATTCGCTTCAGCCGACGGTAAAAACGATGTCCGACTCTCGGTCGATGTCAAAACATCGTCACACGTAGTTGAAAACAAACCTCTAGTGTTGTTTGCAGGACTCACAGCAAATGTGAAACTTTTGACGTTATCTGGGCGTGAGCGTGGTGTTCTGGCTTGGTTTGAACTTAATCTGGAGTATCTGTTGTTTGGTTGGTGGTCAGAAGTAGTTCTGTAAATAGAGTGGTTCGAGTTGTTGCGATTGCTATTCAGACGTGGTCCAACTATCGTGCTATTGATGTTGTTTGTCCTGAGTTGCAAGTTGTTGATGTTATTGTTTAAGTGGTTTCCGTTGATCTGCCCTGCGCTGTACTGGCTGTCAGGCCTTGACCGCGTTTGCGGTGGCAGCAACATCGTCTGAAAAAGCACAATATATTAAAAATAACATCCTCTAGGGCCAACAAAAACTCCGTCACCCTACAAGTAGCACAGTAATATCATTGCAATTTAAGCATTAAAATTTACATTGTATATATATTATAATAAAAAATTTCGGGAGCGGGACGTAAGTTCATTTCTAGGTTTTAGTAGGTCAAATGAAGTGCATGATCTAAATTTTGTCTCTTTACTTCGTCCAAAATTTTAGCTCCTTGGCTTTGGCGCTTATGTTTCAGTTGTTCGAGTAAAACGTCAATCTCCTTACTTCGTTGGAATTGTTAAATCGATCACTCACTTTCTGAAGACTATATGAAAAGGAAAAACGTATAGAACTCCTTTGCAGTCTGACTATTTGAACAGCTTATAAGAAACTGACAATTTAAAATTACAACTTTTATACTAGGGAGAAATTATAAATATTAGTTTTACTCGGTATGAAGACTGATCATTAACCACGAAATACCATTGACCATTGAAAGAGCTACTTAATGGAACTAAATGTCATTAACATTTATGCTGTTTCTTATGACGTTAAATGACTTTAAAATGTCTGATCGGGAATGACGTAGAAAAAGAAACTTAATTTAAGAAACTTCGCGAAAAAAACGGGCTTCATTTAAATAAAAACTAGCGTGTACCGCACCACCGGTGCTTCGAATTTTCAACAACTCAAAAACTATTCTTTGAGTGTACTCTATCAGCACCCAACTACAGGGTTCGTAATCAAAAATTTTGCGATTTTTTTTTAATTCAAGTTTTTTATACAAATTTTGAAGAACCATAAAATTTTATGAAGTTTTATAGAAGTTCTTCGAAAAATTTAAAATGAACTAAGAAACGTCACATCTGGGAAACTGAAAGCAATTGAGCAGTCGCATTCGGACGCAAGACTTGCAACTCCTGAGAGTACCCTTACAGTAACTAACTACAATGTTTCGAAGAAAAAATTCACATTTCGAAAACTACCAAAATTTTAGCAATCTTTTTTGATGGCAATATTCGCAATCTTTGAAAGTACACGACTTCAGGGTTGGGAATTTCACTATAACGAAGTATTTTGTAATGAGTTTTCTGAAAATGTCCAAAAATATCAAAAAAATCGTCTTATCTCTTAAACATTTGGGCATTCTTAATTGGAGGCCGAACTTGCAACCCCTGAGATTACTCTGACAGCCCCCCAACTACAGGCTAGGAAATTCAAAAATTAGAAGTTTTTAAAATTGAGTTTTCTAGAAAATTTTTGAAAAATCTCGAAAATTGCCTATCTCGTAAATTGAAAGGATTTGTTTATTCAAATATAGGGGCCAGAATAGCAAAACCCTGACAAAATGCTACTATTGGGTTGCTTATTTCAAACTTGATGAAATAAACACTGAATTTAAACTGAAAAATCGAAAAAAAAACCTTAATCATTGCAATATACGATATAGCTTAAACGTGAAAAAACTCTTCTGTTAAACATGCAAAAAAAATACGATGAAAAAGCTTAAACATGGCGAGATAGTGAAGCCCGCATTTAAATATATAATAGATAATAGAAAGATAAAAAATGCAATTTAAAAAATTAGGCGACGGGTAGACAGACAATCAAATTAATTAAAAAGGCAGGTATACAGACAGACAGACTTAACTTGGCCTCGAAAAAAAATACTGAAAAATCAATGAACTTGCGAAAAACTAAATGAAAAATTTTCTTAAGCATTGCAATATATGATACAGCTTAAACATGAAAAAATTCTTTCGTTAAACATGCAAAATTATTATGCCTAAACATGGGAGATACCTGCCATTCGCATTTAAATATAGTATAGATAGATAGATAGATAGATAGATAGATAGATAGACAGATAGATATAAACATAGATAGATAGATAGATAGATAGATAGATAGATATAGATAGATTGACAATTAGATATAACGGATTTACATCATAGGAAAACTATATTAATTATCTTTCTATTTTGCTGATAAAAACGTTATCAATTATCAACTTGTTTCAATCGTTACCTGTGACGCTTTTTCTTATAAAATAGGAAACAAGCGAATCTCAGCGAAACAAAGCAAAAAATGCCAAGCTTAACTGACGCAAAACCATCTAGTTACAATAGGTCTCTAAATTTCATAACTCACTCCTGAAAAAAAAAACTTCAAAATAGTTCATTTTCTGTACAAATGAAAATGTTATATTCTGTGTTACAAAACTGGAAACCAATGTCTTCAACTTTTAAACAGTGCGCTCATTTTCTGGAGGAAATCATTTGATATTATCCGAGAAAAAGTGGTATAGACATGGTCTCAGCAAAAGACTTTCGTACACAATTAGTACGCAAAAAATCTTAAAAACTATCACGATTTCAAAAGATTCCATTACTACCTGTGTAAAAATTGAGACAAAGCTGCGATTAATAATTTCTTGTTCCTACCTGTGTAAAAATTAAGACAAAGCTGCGATCAATAATTTCTTGTTACTGAGAGGAGAAGGCAAACGACAAGACAAGCATTCAAAAAAAATCCACCCAGAACCGCAAATCACACAATTAATTCCCTGCCCCAGTGCGAAGCAACATCAAATGAATTTTGAACACAGAGACGAAGCTTGGCTTCAAGCACTACCGAGAACACGACAAAAAGCAGCTCTATAAAAAGCAATGAGAAAAAGCAGAAATAAGCCTCAAATAGTAGAAACTCTGCTATGACTCGGATTCGATCTCCGACTAACTATGACCTGCAGACCTCATGCACTAACCATTCAGCCACGGACGCTTAACGCACTAACCACAGAAGCTCAATAAATGGCAAACACTAGCCACAAAAATGCAAAGAACAGATGCTATGAAATTTCCAATGCTACAGATAGTGATTATAGCGAAAAAGCCACCAGATAAATGAACACAAACACTAGCCGCAAAAAAGCGGAGAACAGAAATTTCCAATACAATAGAAATTTCCAATACTACAGATTGTGATTATAGCAAAAGTGCCACCAAATAAAGGAAAACTTTTAATGGACACTTTTTTTGCGAGTTAGGTTAGAAAAAAGAAGGTTTGTACTAATACACTAACGATCGTAGAAGTAAAAAAAAAACATTTTTAAACGTGAGTAATATATTTTTGTTACGTATCTATTCCAAAAAAATCCAATTTCTGCTACTTTTTAAATTTAATAATGAAAACATGAAAAAAAAACATCATCAGATGAAATCGAGTCAAAATCATATTTAAAGCCATTTCGATCATGACTTTAACGACCTCAAAGTTTTTTCAGAGAAATTGGCTCAGTCGGGAGACACTGGTAAGAAATTTTTGAGATTCATTCTAATTTAGAGCGAGTAACGCGATCACTAACGTTCGTTTTATGAACGATGTACTTTTAGGCTCAGAAAACTTATTTTTTTAAACGTAGAACTTAATGTATATTTTCCTTTAGAGCTTCCTTGGCCTTAAAACTTTTCTAAACAGAGGCGAAGCGTTGCAATACGAAGATTTAAAAAAATAAGAAGAAAAAAAATCAAAATGTGAAAAAACTAGGTGAACCAAAAAGTTTCTCGTTCAAAGATAATTAGGGACCCAACTAAAGCTAGAGGTAACTGTTTTATAGTTTTGGGAATTTGTTATACTGATGCGGAACAAAATGGGTTATTTCAAAAATTGGACTTTGCCCAAAACCTTAGTTGCTTGTCTACTAAAATAATTCTAAGAAACGTCAAAAAACGGTCAAATGACCAAAAACTTGATTTTCCGAAATCCTTACCTTTTACTGCAACAGAAGCACGTTGCCACTTAAGCAGAGAATATTTCCGAATTCGAGTTTCTCGATTGAGCACTTAACCTAAAAAAAAGCTGGGTGGTTTTTGAGAAAACTCCAAAACGTTTCAAAAAACTGTACAAAAACCAAGTAATAACATTTTCGAGGGCCATATCGTTTGTCTTTAAAACATTGTTGGGAAAAGCCGCTGTTGCAGAAGAGAATCACACAACCTGTTGGTTCGATTGAACGCAAGAAGCCAAGATATGGGAGAGTAGTTTTTGACCAAAAAAAATAGCTTCGACAAACGGTACGAAAACCAAGTATCAAGTTTTCGAGGGCCGTAATTTTGTGTTTAAAAAAATTGGGCGCGGTCAATTATTCACGCCAACTTCCCACAACCAACCCAGTGATTCGATTGAACCAAAAATTTCAGACATGACGGTAGGGTCGAAAAAAGACAAAAATACAAGAAACGGTCAAAAAAGCAAAAAGTTTGACTTTCCCAAAGCAAAAACTTGTTGTAAAAAAAAATTGGACGTAGCCGCATATGCAGAAAACGTTTGACAAACCATTCTATCCGAAGAACCCACGATATCATATTTGGGAGAGTAGTTTTTTTTATTAATACCTCCTTTTGAAATCGAAAAAGTAGTTTGAATTGACAGAGCGATACCACCTAAGCCGAAACCGTTTAATCGAAAAAAAAACATTCGCAATCAGACTTGGTAAAATGACAAATTACAGAACTTTCATCATAGTATTAGAAATCGAAATTTGAAAAAATCCATGCTACGCAAAGCAGGTCAATAAAATTAGTACCAGATAAAACAAATACCGTTTTGAAAAATCGGATTATGAGCCGACGGAAACTAGGCCGAACACACGAATCCGATAAATACTCCACCGTTTTTCAAGAAAATTATTAGAAAAAAAGTAATTAATGCTCAAAACGTACTCCATCTATTTACTACCTAGATAAGATAATTTTATTTGAAATTTCAAGAAAATGAGCATGTCCGAAGCATAGCAGCAACTGTTTCATTTGATTTTGTTAAACTAGTTGTTAACCCGAAAAAAAGACTAGATTCTCATTTGATAACACTTGCTATTCGCAGGCGTAAACAATGCGCTAAACCATCAACATGAAATGATTTCAAAAGAAATTGCTCAAACAATGAACTAATTAAAACTAAAACTACTTCCACGCGTTTTAGGAACAAAAAAATCAGATGCCAAACATCCGAAAAAAAATTTAAAATTTAATGCAAAAAAAATGTCTTACAGGAAATTTCAAAAAACTATTTTTTTGAAAAACTTAGCGCGTATAAAAACTAGAACACCATGAACTACATTTAGCCTCATAAAAATGAAGAAAAAAACAACTCAAAAAGTGTGCCACAATTTTACAGAAATATAACACCCGGCAAGAAAGCCGACAAAAATTGGGACGAAATCAATAAAACCGACAAAAAATCGATTTATATATTAAAATTTATTCAATTGTAAAACAAGAATCACGTCAACAGCTCTAAACCAGGTTTTGAAGTCTCTAAACCTAACAGCTATTAGACGCGCAACTTGGGTAGAAATGAAAATTCAGATGACCAAAATTCAGTCATCCTGTGGACCAAATTGTTTGAAACCAAT